AGAATGTCAATATTTTTTTTTTTTTTTTTTTTTTTATAAGATTTATTATAACGTTAGACATGAATTAAGATTATTGCAAATGGAACTTTTATTTTCGTTATGGAAATCATTTTTGGCCCTTGTTTAAGCCACATTATTTTCATAAGAATGCTTTTTTGAATAATGTATTAATGGAAAATGTGTGGTTAAAAAATAAGGAAAATTTTTGAATTTGCATATGATATAATTTTATTGAAGAATGTATGGTTGAAATAATGTCAAATAACTGTTTAAAAATGTATTTCTTTGAAAGAATGTGGGTCAGACTAGGCCTTATTCAAGTCATTTTAATGTCTCATATGATAATTTATATGTATGGGTCGCACTCGGCTTGTTTAGGCTTCAGGTAGTCACATTATTATGGATATGATAAATATTCAATCAGTTACTCTGGATTGAAGAGTCCCCCAAGATCGCCAGAATATATGAAATCAAGTATAATACAATCTGGTAGCTCTAAGCTTAGATTTCTTCTTATTAGTTTCAGAAATATTTTAAAAATTGATGCTTTTGCAGTCTCAATTATTTTAATAACCTCAGATAGTTACTCACATGAAAAGTTTAACACAGATTAACAAATTCTGGTAAGTACGTACACATTTGCCAATTCCATTTGCATCCGACTCCCCTCCAAGGAAAGAATGTGTTCAATGGAAGAATCAAGCGATCTACCAAATTTCCATAATCCAGAAATAGCAGCAACTCCTACATGTAAAAAATCAATGTATTATCAATCTTTCCTCCTCTATGAATAATAAACAGCCGCAGCAAGCTATCACAGGAATGTAAATATGTCGGTACATGAATTCGCAGATGGACATTTGTACTTGTCTCACACTTTTATATTTTCTTTATTATTATGTAATTAAGTGTTTTGACAGAGATTCCACAATTTATAAACATGTTTTGGATAGAGTTTCCACAATTTGTAACAGATGCTAGTAAAAGACAGCATCTTATTACAGTATCAGACCCATGCCCTAAATCATATTCACAGCATACAGTGCTTGTACAGTTCAAAAATTAAGATATTGATTTGTTTTAAAACTGATTAAAGAAGCTGTAATAGTTATACTCCAGGAATAAAGCAAAATTAGTAAATGAAGGAAAAAATATAGATTCTTTCTCCCCCTGATTTATTCGAACCATTCCTATTCATTATGCCAAGCAGATGAAAGACGAGGCAATAATTGACAAAACTAAAATATATTTTTTTCTAAATAGATAAATATTTTAGGGAAATGCAATCCAGTAAAGACATTATAATACTACAAATATATTGGAGGAAGAAGAACTTGCTTTAGCATATTAGTGATCAAAGTTAATAGTGAGTTGTCATGCAATTAATATCCGCATACACAATTCTGCATCTGTGTAAGCAGGCATCTCTCTATGAGAACTGTGATTATACATATAATGCATCAGAACTTGACTTTTAGTTGTCGATTCGATTTCTTTTTTAACACATTATATAGCTTATTCCTAAGGGTCTAAAGAAGATGCCTAAAAGATAAAGAATATTGAAGGAAGTAGAAGAGTGCACATCTCTCTTATCTCTTCCAAAATGGTTACAATTCAACTCATGTTGTCATGAAAGATAAAAATAACTAACCAAATAGTATAAATTCATTTTTTCTTCTATAAAAGATCCACAAGTTAAGTTAGAACATTGATATACAAAATATACATGTAGATCAATAGAAAAGAACGAATGATGGCAATAATGTCACTTACCCAGTGTAAAATTAAAGCGAACTAGATTACTTAGCCTTTGGGTTGCTGCCAAAAAGGATAACATAATTAGGTTATGCAATTCATTGTTATACAATGTATCACATGACAAACTAAACAAGAAGTTAAGTTTTATTCCAAAGACAATTGGAGTCTGCTCGGTAAAGCCTTTTTGCCATTAGCATTAATTAAAACGTCCACAACACACACAGTCATTCATCCACGTACAAAAGAAAAAAGGTGAGTCATGTAAAATAAGTGCTTAGAATTTTTTTCCATTCCATATATATCCTTTGGCCTTACACGCACAACGTAACTTATAATCATAACAGTGCCATGATAATTTCAAAGTCCACGTTACACCTAACAGATTCTACCAGAGATCAGAAAATATGGTACAATCATTTGCAATTAGAATCTAAAGCTACCTAATGAAAAAGGAACACACAAAGTAATATCCAAACAATGCAACCCCAATGACAACAAAACTAAACTTAGCATCTTTACCCCCATTTTATCATGAATTTCCACTGAACTAATTTCCCTTACTGTCTCGCACGTGCTAACTTAACATAAGATTTACTTTTTTAAATAAATTAGATCAAGAAAATAGTTAAATTTACACCCTTAACCATATATCATGTACCCATTTCCTCTTCTTATACTTTACAACCGAGCACGAGAACCCACTGTCCTCAATATTATTTATTGGCTTTCCACGCTGAAATTAAAAATCCATCCAGTGACCTTAATTACATAGACATGCATATATTACAAAACAAAACATTGAACGCATAATATCAATGTAAATTGTCAAGAATGTACCTAACCAAGTAGTGACAGAACCACCACCAAAGCCAATAGTGAAATCTCTCATAGCCTGAGCCTTACATGCCAAGAGTATATTTGCTTCTTGACTTGTCAATTTCTCCTGCTCATTTTCAACATAATTTTTGAAAATGGGAAATACTAATGAGAAACCAACTAAAATAACAAAAATAAATAAATAAATTTATACATCTATTAAGCTATACTGTAAATGTAGCATCCAAATAAAAATGTTCTATGCGTAGTCGCAAATAATAATCTGCTGCGCACATTACTTCTTGTCAATTTTTCCGACCCATTTAATCATTATTTTCAAAATGAACAACGACAAAGGAAATGCAAACTAAAATCAAAAAACCATTTCGAAACGTGCAATCATCGGTCAAACAGAAAAATGCAGCTTTAATTGCCAAAAAAGTTCATATTTCAGAAATATTCAAGCGGAAGTACAGGCTTAATTTGAGTAAATAAATGGGCGACAAAACGAAAGATTCAAAAATACCTGTCTGGATCGGAGAATCCTTTCGAGATCGAATAGAGCTTCACCCATTTTTCAACTCCTATTGTCTGAAGTGTAAGGACGTTTGTACCTGAGCAATCGATTTCAGATTTCGCCCCCAAATTGGATGTGGAATCGATTTCGATATCGTTCTTTTTGCAATAGGAAATGAGTCCTAATTTATTCTAACTGTAGCTAGAACATCCTGAATTTACTTTTTGGACATGCATAGTCCTTGATCTTTCTTTTTCGTTGATGAAAAATGTTTGTTGTTTCACCATTTATAAATTATTTTACAAATTGATGGGGACGAAGATCAATTGAATTAAAATTGCTAAAAAAGATTTTTTACCACTTAAATGATCGTGCTCATGTGATGTGGTTTAATGATAAAAAGAAATTGAGATATTTTTTTATTTGATTGGTTAGACCGTGACTGAGTCAAATTTCATCATATTATCTGTTGATAAACAAATTTGTAAATTATGATCTAAACGTAGTACAATTATTTTTTAATACTAATATACAGTTTTTTCAAGGTGGAATTCAACCATGGAGACCAATTTCAAACGAAGCACTTGTTTGAATCCCTTTTTTTGCTATAAAATGTATTTTGGAATAGTAAATTAATAGAGAATATGTTGTTAAAAAATAAGAAAAATTTTCGAGTTTACTTGAAATATTATTTTATTGAAAAAATTACTATTGAAAATAAAAGATCATATTTTCAAAATAATGGGATCAAATAAAAGCTAAATGAAAAATAAGTTAAACCTACATAAAATAAAACTTAGTACTACTTTTACATGCCCCCCGGGGCATAACCCAATCGTGCAAAGGACAAAAGTGAGGTAGTCTCAACTTTACTGACAATCGCAGTGTGAGTGTTCGATTCTTGATATATGGAATTGGACTGTTTGTGGGCACCAGTGTACGGGCAAACTCTTGTTCCCTGGCCTGCTGCATCCCGCGATTTACTTTCCTCACGAAACTCCAGGGACGGGCGGTGGGAGCCCTCAAGATTGAGGTTCAACGTTTTTTTTAGCACTATTTGTACATAATGATTTATAGATTGATGATGTGAATAATATTAAGTATGAACTAACTTCGTTTCATTTCATTCTCACTCTCTCTCCTCCCATCACACACACACACACACACACACACACACACACATCGATAAATGTATTTTACACAATATGAATAATTGATGAATAATTGATGACACAATATGAATAATTGATGACAAATATATTGAAATATAGCTGAATTCTATATAAATCATGTTTTGCAGTACATTGATGAATATGGTGGAATTTTGAAGAAACAAGCGAAAAAAATGACTAAATTATAAGAAATCCAATATTCTGGGACCAAAGTGCAAATAGTCGAAAAATGACCTGGAATGAGAAATGAAGATGTGAAAGAGGCGAAAATCAATTTAGCAAAAGACATGACGTATTGAAACAGGAAGTGATAAAAGAGGTCAAAAAATGAGAAAATGGAATTCGAGGACCAAAACGCAAAGAATGAATTTTCATTTGAACTATGTCATAGCATAGTTATATTCACCATGTAGTCGCATGACATGCTTCAAGGAAATTCGGGGTTGAATTTCATTGAACTATGCCATAGCACGTGATTGTACTATGTTATAGTGTAAAGCCCCGAAAATTCACATATACTAGAATTTATTTACTTTCATACTATATTTTTAAATTTCGAAAGTTAGGGGACTAAAATGATAAATACAATAAATTCAATTTTAATTAGATCAAATATTTAAATATAGATAGAGTAATGATAAATATATCGATATTGTACTCGTTGGATAGCTTGTAATTAATTATGTATATTAGGTCCAAGAAAAAGTCGATTCGGATAAATAAGCTCCAAGACATTTCAGTTTGAAAAAGGTAGATGAAACTAGTTTTACAATTTAATTTTAACCTTTGATGAAAATGTACCCATCACATGTCACGTGTATGGAGTGTTTCATTTTTATTTTGAATTGGTTGGGAGTTGTTAGTGCACGTGTATTTTAAAATATAGATAGGTAGTTTTATTTTAAAATAATTTATTTGACTAGGTTGTTGGGAGATGATAGTGATAGGTTACCATGTGTTGATTAGATGGAGAGGAAATAGTGATTGTATAGAATTGAGACTCTTTATGGGGGGAAAAATACGTTTCTTTGAAAGACTTTTAGGCTTATTAAAATTCAATATTCTCTTTCACCTCTAGACACCCATATATTGTGATAGCAGCAAAAAAACTGATTTATTACGAGATAGAATATTGAGGTGCAGTGTTTTTCTATCGTGTTTAAATATTTTTTTTCATGTTGACGAATTTTGTACTCATGAAAGTTAAAGTTATGATGTGATATGCTATGATATAAATTATATGACTATTTCGGTACAATGATATGATATAATATGATATGAGCTCTTACATTTAAAGATATGAGACGGTATATGTTTTAATATTTTTATACGAGATCGCACCATTAATTTTATATCCTACTGAGTATTTTCATGTACTCACCATTTTCCCTACTTCTCACAGATTAGAACGGGTCGTTGGTTAGCGGGCGATGCGGTGGAGTTGTGATGTCAAAAATTATGGAATTCAAAATAAATAAATTCTGAGTAATATGATTATGAAATTTTATTTATTTATTTTTTAACGTTATTTCAGTTTTATCTTCATGTTAAATTTGCAATTTAATATTTGGGACATGGTTCAGTTAATTATGTTTTCCATAGGCTTTATTTATTTTATAGATGAAACTAGAAAGATTTTCATGTAAAATGTTTGACATAATTTATTTAATTATGAAATAAAGGTTTTAGTAACGATCTTAAATCTTTAAATTTTGGGTCGTTACATATAGCATAGTACATTTTGGAGGCAAAATTCTTGTTTCCTTATACAACTCTAACTCTTATGGAAACATGATTTGGGACATCTTTAAAGGCTTGGGGTTGTCCATAATTAGTTTACTACGCATTATAACACATTTCAAGAGATTTGGGAGCATAGAAGGGGGCAGAAAATATGAAAATTGATTTCAAGATGCGAAGATTCAATTCAAGATTTATTTTGGTTATGTCGTTTTTTCAATATTTCTTTTGTTTTCTTCTTCTTAACACGCTAGACTAAATTTGTTTGTGCTAGGGAAATGATGAATTGTGTATATACGAGTTTTTAGCCTTTTGTTTTACATATTTGACATTGAAAACATGTTTTTGGATATTGAATTTTTATATGATTTTCTTTTTTCCACAATTATTATGCACGGTAGTTGTGTGGATGTAGTAGCTTATTTGCATTTGAAAGAAGGTAAATATGCTCGATATAATATAAATCGTCATTAGGTTTAATATATGATAGAAATATACCGCCATGCCTTATGCGAATTTTTAAGTGTTCATAAAAATTCTTACATTACTAGTGTGTGTCTCGTGCGTTGCACAAGTATTGTATAGACTATGTTATTATTAGCGTGGAATGTGTAATTTTTTTTTTAATGTTTTAAGTTTTTGAAAATGAGAAATTACTGAAATGTAAATTGAAGAGAAAGTAATTTCATTGAAAACTATAAAATAACTACAAGTCACACCAAAAATATATACTATATTATTCAAAATGAATTGGCTTGATTTTTCAGCTATTTCAAAAGATAATACTGTTGAATTTTTTCATTCCATTTTCTACTCTATTTTTTCTTTCATTTTGTCTGATGTAAATGGATTTGAACTGGGACTTTCTGACTGGTGAATAGCTGATTTGAAAAGAGTTTTTTATTCTGGAGGGGACCAATTGTCATCCGCATCTATGTCAAAATTTTTCAAATTTTTTTCATAATCAATATTCTTTTGATGGCATTCTTGTTTTTCATCTACAATTAAACATTCGATGAAGATGATGTCAAATTTGTAATTGGATGAATTAAGTTCTACTTGAGTCGCTTTGAGATAGAATGCTCTTTCAATGTTTTGCATTTTCCCAATTATATCTCCAAAATCTGTTTGTGAACCATGTATAAAAAATATGAATGTTATGAAGAAACCGATCAAATATACCAAAATAGAGATTGGAGAAGACTGTAAATTATTACAAAGTTTGTTTCTTCCATCAAAGTTTGTGCATCTGTGAATATAAGTTTTTCTGCAACTTCACCAATTGCACTTGCATTATACATCTTGTGACATCTGATAATTGGACATATGCTCTTACTCTGAAATAAAGAGAGTAATTATTTATTTATGTAGGAATAAATAAATAAATATATTATTATTATTAGAAAAGTGTGGAAAAATATATTTTACCGAGGAATAGCTTTGGAATTGAAACTTTTACAGAAAATACAAACATATATTTCACCAAAATCAACGCTTGATCGTCGATAACAATTGTTGCAAGCCATATACCAACATTTCTGATCTATGTTTTTCATTTATGCAGTGACATTCACCCAATAAAATTTTCTCTAAAAAAGAAAATTGTAACTTATAAAGAAACATAAATAGAAACCATAATTTTATTGTGTACTGGAATATATAAATACCGATAAAAGTCGGCCTTGTAGATTTTGAATTAAGGTGATTTTGTTGTGCATTGGAGGAGGCAATTTTGTAGGAGATTTTTTAGTGTATGGCTTTTTCAAAATGAATTCATCGATTTTGTCTAAATTTATATCTTTCCTGAAAGAATGAAAGAGTAAATAAGCCGAATAAAACCATAATAATTGTAAGTGGACGGATATACATACATACCATTCAACCAACTTTTGTACTGCAACGAAAGGGTATTCATGAAGAATGTACTACGAATTTTTGTGGAGAGTTTTAAACCTATACAATTCATTAATGTAAGATATGAAATGCATTTTTAAGCAGAGTTTAAATAAGGAAAAATAATATAAACTTACCCAAAAAGAGGCGACCTTTAGCTTTGTTGCAAAGATTACTAGTTTTTTGTCAATATTTTCTGAGAATAATTTGCATTTTCTGTCAACAAATGAATCCCACAGTGTCAACATCACTGTTTTGAATTTTTGGTCCAGAAGTATTACATCTTGTACCCAAGTTTGGTTGCCATCATTTGATTGAATTAATCGTTTAGGCATTATATCAAT